TGTGGTGAAGTATTGGGGGTGGCCAAGAAATATCATCATTGATCGAGACCCCCGCTTCACTGGAAACTTTTAGAGGGATTTGTTTGATATACTTGGCATAAAGTTGCACTTCTCAACTAATTTTTACCCGCAGAAGAATGGAAAATAGAGTGAGTCAATGATTTACTAGAGTTCTACTTGAGGCACTATGTGAGTGCACACCAGAATAAATGGGCGAGGCTCTTAGACATGGCACAATTTTGTTATAACTTGCAGCAGAACGAGTCCATAGGGTGCACACCCTTTGAGTTAGCCATACAACAACCCCAAACTCCACATACGCTACCAGCCACATTTCGAGGGAAGAGTTTGGGAGCTTACCACCTCACCAAGGAATGGGAAGAACAGCTTGACATTGTTAAGTAGTATTTGGACAAGGCAATCAGAAAGATGAAAACATATGCTGACCGCAAGCATCGTCCCACATATGAAAAGGTTAGAGACATGGTCCTGGTGATGTTTAATCCAATACAGTTCAAGGCACTATGAGGCATACACCAAAACTTAGTTTGCATGTACGAGAGCCCGTTCAATATTGTTGCCAAGGTGGGAAAGATCTTTACAAGGTAAAATTACCTCCTCATTTCAAGATTCATGAGGTCTTACATGCTAGTGTCCTCAAGCCATACCACGAAGAATTGGATTATCCTAGCCGAAATCAATCAAGTCGGGCACTAATTACTATTACTGTCTCACAAGATTGGGAAATTGAGGCTATTATTGGCTATCACGCCAAGAGGAAGAGAGGACAACAAGACACTTCCAGTTTTCTCATTCATTGGAAGGGACAATCACATGAAGAAGCCGCATGGGAACGGTATGAAGACTTGTGGCAGTTAAAAGACAAAATCAGGAGTTCTCGCAACAGCAATGCGACGCGGGTGTCACAGCTTCACGTGGGCGAGAGTGTCATGACCGACCATTTTGGCATACCACTTACGCATAAAATGAAAGAATAATTGATCTATCCTAGGGGGGGAGAATATAGAGTCTTGGAGATATTTGGGGAAGACTCTAGAATATCCTTGAAGAGTTCTTGGAAGGCTTTAGAATTCTTTAAGCCTGTAGAGAATTCTAGACGAAGGACCAACTTGTAAATATGTAGAGACTTGTATAACAATATTTATTTATAATTTAGCCCCTAGGAGTGTAGTATAAATAGAGAGACTCTCATTTGTAAACCAAGCAAGCAAGTGCAAGCAATCTTCTTTAAAAACTCTCTTGTGTCTTTCTTCATTCTCTTAGCGATCTAAGTTTGAAAAGGCTTACTTGAGCTTAAAAGACTGTGAAAGAATCATGAGTAGTTTTCGAGTGCCACACAGAGTGTTAGTTGAAGTCCAAGTCTATGACAATATGTTGTTTAAAGTTGAAGACATTTTCAATGCATCTGAAGTTCTGAACTACCACTAGGTTAATTATCTACAAGTGACCTACATTATTATAGATTTCATCAAATGAAAAAAAAATAGGTTTAAGGGGGACAGAGATCAATCCTATCTTTTAATTCTGATGGATCTTTAAAGGGAAAATTACACGAATAAACAAGCATAATATGGTTAATTAGTTAACATAGTTATAAATTAATTCAATTACCATTCTCCACTAACTTGCAATCATAATTGTGTGGTCCATATCCAGAATTTATATAATTCCGCTCCTAAATGTATAAACTCAGAATTTGCATAATTCAATTCCAAATTGTATAAATTCAGAATTTCCTAATGGTATAGATTCAATTTGTATATGATTACCCTAGCTTGTATATAATTATCATGTTGATACATTTGATTTATATAAGTTCTGAAAAATTCATAAATGTACAAATAAAATTTTTTATATACTAACCATTTTTATATATTGGCGAGCGAATTATACAAACGACAAGTGAATTATACAAACGAAAATACCTACAACAAACGAAACTACAGTTATGAAGCGTAATTAGGGAAACTGTAGCTAAGAAGACTTATTAAGTTTAATCTCTTTACTATTTATGAAATTTTCTTTTTTAATTGCATCTGGGACAATAAATGTGGATATGGGTCAGGTGGGTGGGAGAAAATTTGATAGTTTGGAATTTAAATTTTTCCAATAGAAAGATGCAACATAATAATTAATAATAATAATTTGTCTAAATATAATAGGAGAAGAAAAAAGTGTCACGTGTCAGAACCACAAAAAAACAATAATTATTATTAAAAAAATCTATTAAAAAATTGATAGTAAAAAAACAATAATTGCCATTAAGAAAATTTAAAAACTTATTGTAAAAAAATAAGTTAAAACGGTAGTTACTTGTAGAAATGGGGTAGTTTATTTTTCATTCATTTTTAAAATTAATAGAAAATCTGTAAAAAGAACTCACCACAAAAAAAAAAAATTAATTTAAAATCTAAGAATCTAAAAAAAAAAAAAAAAAAGTGCAATCACTTAAAAAAAACTTTAAGTAACATAAATCATCAAAATTTGAAAATAAAAACTAATAAATAGAAAGATATACAAAGTAATGTATGTTGTCCTTTAATATGACTCTCTTTGTTTGGAAATTAATTAAACGGAGAAGGGCCTAAAATAACCCTCAAGTATTTGAATTGGTAAAAAATTACCCTCCATCCACCTTACGGCCTTAAAATACCCTTGTCATCCACCTTTTGGCTAAAAAATACCCTTATGTCTAACGGATCATACTCATAAGGTGGATGGAGGGCAATATTGTACCAAATCTCATTGTGTAAGGGCATTTTAGACCCATTTCATTAAAATAAGTAAAAATTATAGGAATGACATAGTATAGGATATAAATTACATCCTCTCCCTTCTAATTTTCATCTTGCAATAAATCCCGTAAAATAATGAGCATCTAGATACATTAAGGGTTACGAGATACATTATATATGATACATTGTAATTAGGAGTTGTTGCGCTTAAAAAGGAAAGAAAAACGTAAATTTGATTTTAATAATTTAAATTCCCACAATTCACGCATGACAGGTTGTTAACCTTCCATCCATTTACGTAACTGATTCAGAAATTTAAATTTCAAAATTACACCTTCTTCATCTATCAACAATTACAGTAAAAAAAAAGAGCTAAATTCCTAGAACTCGAAGAAAGCAGCTTTAGAAGATGAATATATCGATTTTGTTACGGGATTCTAGAATTTGGGTTAGCGGTGTTAATTATGAAGGTTACAAAGTTGATGGAATTGTCGTTGGACAATCTATTACATTTATGAAATTGAAAGCGTTGATTTTAGACGAAATAGAGATCGATGTTGTTAGAAAAGATATTGAAATTTGATACATCGTAGAAGGAAACTCGTGTCCATTGAAAATTAAGAACGACATGGGTGTGAAACTGTATTTGGAAGTGAAAAGGAATGAGCTTGGGTTCGCTATGTATCCACTATGTATTGATATAATAGACAAGATTGGTGGAGAGATACATAACTTTGATGGTACATTCGGAGAAATCATGTGCGTCGAATGTACAAAAAGAGATACAAAAGCTCTTGCTCTGGTTGAATCAAGAATTTGTGATTCATATTATATTTCAGAATTAGATGCTACAAATTACATAACTGATTTCAAGAGTACAGATGCGAAGACGAGTTAGTTGTATAAGGATAAAGCAACACTCGTAGATATAATGGCAAAATATAAAATAAAGAACAACTTCAATTTCCGAGTGAAGAGATCAGATAAAAAAGGTATTGGAGTGTTTGATCTTTAATTTGAAGTAGTTTTCTTCATTTTTTAGATATATTAATGATGATAGACTTATATTTCTAATGTGTGTGATACATAACTGTAATTAGTATATGTATCATAGTGATAAGTTTGTTGGTTTCTGATGATTAGAACAGATTGGTATGATAATTATGATTAGCTGATTTACATTGTGTGTATCGTGCTAAACTATTGAATTTGATATATAAAAATATTGTAAAGTAGTTGTTGTGGTCATTATTATGGATGATACATTAATGTGCATAATTATTTGAAAAATTGTTAAAAACTGTAACATTGTATATTTGAAATGTATCTATTATATAAATGAATGTGGCTGGAGTTTAAAGGCTTCGTGTAGAAAGAAATCTGATGTATTCAAAGTGAGATACTTCAATACTGAACATACGTGTCTAATGGGGGGATAGAATTCTAACAAAAGTACAAGCAATAGTTAGGTTTATTAGTGGTTTGATTGCCCCTAAATTGGTAAATCATAAACGAATTCATACGCCAAAAGATGTTATTGATGATATTAAGGAATTCTATGGGGTTGAAATATCATATCAACAAGCATGGTGTGCTAAGGAACGTGCACTACAAATGCTAAGTAGTAAACCATCATATGGATATAGGCAGATGTTGAGATACATATGCATGCTAAATACTGTGTACCCAAATTCATATATAAGAATGCACAAGTCGGAAAATAATGAATTCATGTATGTTTTCATAGCCTTGAGACCATTGATGTGAGGGTTTGACTACTGCAGACCGATAGTTGTAGTCGACGATGCACATCTTGGTGGCGCTTACAAAGGTACTTTTGTATCAGTGAGCACACTGGATGGGGCATGTATGACTTTTGTGATACTTTTGTAATTGTGAAGTTATTTTATTTGTATAATTAATGTATCTATAGTGTAAATGTTATGTATCAAAAAATAAAATGTGTGTTGCTTTGCAATTAAGTTGCATAGTGTCATTGGCATATGGTGTTGTAGACACTTAAAATGACTGTTTGTGGACATGGTTCTTCGAACAATTCAAAAAAATGCATTTGGCGAGCGTGAAAACATGTGTATTGTTTCAGATAGAAATGAAAGTATTATGAAGAGTGTAAGCATTGTGTTTCCAAATGTACCTCATTGTGCATGCATATGGCATCTTTGGATAACTGTATGTTCAAACTTCAAAAGGAGCAAAAACACACTAAGTGATCTATTCTACTCAATGGCAAAGGCATACCGTAAGGAGGATTTTGATAAATTAATGACTAAGGTGGTAAAAGTTGATCATAGGGTGAAGGATTACCTTGAGGATGTTGGATATGAGAAGTGGTCAAGAGTTCATTCACCAGTAAACAGAGGTAGAATGATGACTTCGAACATCACAGAATGTATCAATGGCTACCCTGTTGAGGCACGTCAGTTACCTATATTAGTTTTTTTGGAGAGGTTAGAATTCTATTTGGTTCTTGAAACTGTAAAACTAGAGAAATAGCATCATATACAAAGGAAACATTATGGAGAAGATTTGAGGAGGTATTGATTGTAAACGCATCTAAATGTTAATAGATGAAGGTATTTATCAATATACATAACTTTATATTTTATGTATCTAAACTTGTATCATCTACTTGTTTGATCAGCATTGCTATGGAAAGGATACAAAATATGTCATTTCATGTAATGTATCACTAACTTCTTAATGTTTTCAGGTTGTTCCATCGTCTGAATATATTTTCTCGGTTTATAAAGCTCGAAGAAGATACATTGTATGCCTTGAGCGGAAAGTATGTAGTTGTGGAAGATTTCAACTACATGAGATACCGTGCGCACATGCAATTGCAGTTTTAAAGTAGAAGAATGTTACAGATATGAATTCATATTGTTTTGATTACTACAAGCCTGATGCATTAGCAAAAACATCTGAGATTGCTATGGTTCCAATGCCAGATAAGGAGGATTTGTCAGTTCCAGACTATGTTTTAGATGAAATTATGTTGCCACCTAGATACAAAGATTGGTTGGACAACCAAAGAAACGAAGAAAAAAAGATGCAGATGAGAAGATAACAGTTAACAAGAATTGTTGTGGACGCTGTGGACAAGAAGGTCACAACAGAAGAACTTATACTTTCTTCCCGAAAGAGAAGTGAAGTATTTTTTTTAAAAAAACATTTGTGTTCCTGAACTATAAATTGCACTTGTAGAGATTTTTTTACTTTAGTATTTAGATTAAATAAAGTGTATTGTTTACACGATTTAATTTAATACTTTATTTATTATGAGATTTGTTGTTCAACTTAATAAGTTGTTGAGATTTTTGTGTCAATGTTATATTCAATAGAGAATTATTGAAATACTGATGAAAAAATAAAGAAATTATGAATGTATCAACTTTGAAAAATAATTAGTGTAATTTCATCAAAATTGAATCTATATTTGATAAATAATTTAAACAAATTAAGTGTCCCTAAAATTTGGCTTTTATATAGACGTGCATGTTAATCATGAATCATATACATTAAATGTTTATTAGGTACATCTGTAGTTTTAATACATTGTTTGTTAATAGTATTGCCGGTCAATATAGTAATTTGCTATGATTTGTGTGTTGTTGTATATGATATATCATATATATATATGGATATGATACATGTATCATGCACATATACGTAAGTAGTATAGATGAATAGAATTCATGTGTTATATACATTAAACTTATGTATCATATATGTTATTTCATATCTAAACTACCAGTTTACTTTAACTCAATCAGTTATGAGTGTGAAGCTTAACTTTGTAAAACAAAAAATGTATAATTCAAAAGTTTTAGTGGACCATAATCTATCTAAATCAACATATTGAAGACATATTTTTTAAGAATTAACAAAATATTGTAATATTAATAAGTTTTTAAAGATACACTCTAAAACTTTAAGTGAATTTGTCTTAAAAATAAAAAAACATATAACATTGTTTATGCAAACATGGTTGAATACTACTCTATGTTAACCACATATCCTTCAAGTGGTCATGTGAATTGACCCTTAGGCTTTTGTGGATCATCATTCTCACTAATATATCCATCCTTGGCCTTGTCGCTGTCATATTTCCATAACAATGCTGCATATCTATTGCGTAGATAACTTGAAAGAAAACCATCAGGTGGTATAACAAGTTTGTCGCTCAAAAACTCCACAAATATAGCTACATATAAACCACAGTCCCTACAACAAAATGTAGAATTTGGATTTGTAAAAAAACTTACACATATGATTAGAATCAAGAATATAAATACTTACAGGCTATCACTTTCTTGTTGCATGATGTATTGTACAAATTCAACATTGAAAGGATGTTGAGGCTTTATAAGTGTACCAGATTCTTTGTCCTTATATGCATCAAGTTCTGCCCAATTTTTTCGCTCAATTTTTTCAAAGAATTCATTGTCAATGAGGTAAGAAGATAGCATCCTCGACAATTTTTTATCTCTCCAGAATGTGTTGTTTCCTTGAGCCTAGAGAAGAGTCACACACGCGTATCAAACTCTGTTTCAATTCAACAACAGCCAACACCCAAGGAAATCGTCCACAGTTAATCGAAATGTAAACATCATCCACAAGATGCCATGGTAATTCAGCTGGGATTGAAAATCCTTTCATGATGTTGGTGATTGACCTCTCATGTACAGATACAACAGAAGCACGGTCAATGTGTTCTTGGGTTAAAATATTATCATCAGCCTGGTTATTATAGTACCTTTCATGGGTATTGTGAATGTGTGTATTGAACAAGCAATTGACAGTTGTGTATTTGTATTGATTCATGTTGCAGAGTTTTGATTTCTTACGAAGGTAGTAAAAAACAACATTGATGTGCTACACAAAAATAGTAAAAACATAATTATATATTTTTTAAAAATGAAGGAAAAAGTGATAGATTAATAGTGGTATCTAATAGTAAATGTATCTGATATATATATATATATATAATAAATGTATCATGTACATTAAAATAAATGTATTAGATACATTAAAATAAATGGCAACCTTACCTTAGTAGTCCAACATTTTTTTGGCTGTAACATGACATAGAATCATTTTTTGTCAATTAGAAATGCAACAACAAAATTCATCATCTCAAACCCAAATGAATAGGGTTTTGCTCTGTATTTATCCTCTGTTGATTTCCTGTATTATTGATTGTATTAAAGAGCTGTTATTTTGGATCAACTGTGGTAAATTTCATCAAAAAATAAATATAAAACTTACTTATTGGCTTGACTGTTGAGAAGACCCCAAGTAACCCACTGAATATACTCATCAATTAGATTGGACTGATCTTGGTATGTAATGCCACAACCTTCAAATGGACAACATGGATGAATGTCATCCTCCAAGTCCTCTTTTTCCTTTTCTCTTGACCCAAAAGAATTCAAATATGAAGATTGGAAATTTTTTGAAGGAAGCCTGTTACGTGTCAGAGGAATCTTTGATTAGCTTCGAACAACAATCGCTGTGATTGGAATATCAATGGGTAATTGACTGTCCGAAAGGAAATTATGGCTGCAGGTTGAATCATGTGGATTTACAACACTAAGTGATTTAGCAGGAATAGACAGTCTTCCTAGATCAGTGATAAGTGTATCTATGGCTTCTTGAGTTCCGAATGATATTGTGCCAGATGTGGTAGAATCCTATATGATTTAAATTAATATTTTAATAAAATTTAATAAATTATATGATGGTGACATGATACAAAAATAATAATTTTACCAATGTATCAAATGTAACTGGTTGTGGCACAGATTCACTGATGTTTTATTGAACTGTATCTGAAGCATATTCTTTTATTATTCCTTCATTGAGACGTTGAGGCCCTATTTTTGATGGATCATCCTAAATAATAGCATATTGTACAAATAATGATACATTAAACTGTAATGTATCATACACACAAACTTTAATATATCAACATGGATGATGTATCATAAAATAAAGTATCATAAACACACACAAAAACTGCAAAGTATCACATACACACATTTTGATGTATCAAAAATAATGTTGAAATATCATAATAGTAGTTTCCAATGACAATAGTACCTTCTTATGCTCACTTGTTTATGTAGTATGATGAATATTTTGATCAAAGGATTGGAGTTTTGAAACATCCTTCATTTCTTGTTGATTCTTTAATGTATCATCAATATGTGTTTTTAGATGTAGAACAAGTTTTTTAAAACAAATATGTTATTGATATATTGTTTAATTTGATATATGCAATGACAGAAAAACTATCCTCTACACAATGAAGTAACATAAACCTGATCTTCAACCTCAAACTTAGATACACCAATGTTTTGGTCATTATGGGCAGAATTCATTTGTATTTGTGAGGTTGGTTGTTGATCAAACTGAAAGGTACTTGTTTGATGTTCATCATTGCATTTTTTATTGGAAACTTCAACAATGCACAACATAGACTTGTTGGACACATCCTTCATCAATGAAATTGAGAACATAACGACCTATGCAACTTAATACACAAAAAAAATTACATATACAATACACTATCTTGGGTGGCTGGTTGTCCTCCGTATGCTTAGATTTCATCAACTGAGAGTGATATTCCTTTATTAAAGCCTCAAGATACTCAAATTGTTTGTCAACCTACCAAAAAAACAAATTGACATTTAGTTTTGTATTTATAGTGAATATACATAAATATAAATAAAATCGATATCATTACTTACGTAATCCTTCATATATTATTTCAGTTCTTCAGTATCAGAATTTACAAACTTAGCTTTTTGGGCATGTGAAGGGACCTGGTCAAAAGATACATCATCAGCAGGGGTAGGTGGTTCATCTGGCATTGAGAATGACTGGTTTGTTGGCACATTCAACTGCTCTGACAGACTAACCAACTGCTCAGGAGGGCTTGTGGTGAAATTCTAGAAACCTGGAATGTCTTTTGGTTCAACTTCATTTGGATCAACTACTGATGTGGATGGTCCAGGAGGATGAGCAACTTGAATGTCACATAAATCAAGAGCTGCAACTTTGTCTGGTGTTGGAATAATATTTGAACATGCATTCTAAATGACAAAATTTGTTGAATATTATGACAAAAATATGTATCATAAAAAACTATTTTTTACAAATGTAAAATGAATGTTACCTCGGAGAAAATGATAGACATAAACGTTCCAAACTTTGGCTTTACAGCCACGACCCTCCAATTGCAAATACTTGGGATAACATTCTCTTCCTCAACAGTAATCTTTGAATTTAGACTAGATGCACATTCATAAATTCATACGTTCAGGGAATAAGGCATGCCAGATAAACGATACATCTGTTTATGAAGGTTAAAGTTCTGCCTGAGTGATTTAATCAACTTGGTGAATGCATTCTGACCCCAGGGATATAATTGATACCTACCATCTTCAACCATTAAGAATTCGTCGACCGGTATTGAAGTCTCACCAAGTTCATAAAAAAATAAACGTATGTACAAAGTACAGGATAGCCATTTGAACGCCATCCTTTGTGGTCTCCCAGTTGCCCTCAGAAAGCATTGAACAAAACGATTCTTAATTAAACTGGTAGTTGCATCAAGGAAGTACCTTTGTAATAACCGGCTAGGAGTGGATTCTGGGTATGTAAAATCTTTAACATTTCCTTTGCATCTAAGGTCAGTTATTATGAAAAAATCCTTGATACGAAATTGCAATACACTCCCGTTAGCACGTCGAATATGCAGCAACTTAGTGTTGTCCTGTTGCAACTCCAACAACAACATACACTTGGTAATTTGTCCCTGAAAATTACATTTTGGGATGTTTAAATATGATCCAAAAATTATATTCTTAAATAGTTCAATGTCGTCATCGCTTATGAACTTTTTGATTTCATTTACAAACTCAGTGTTGTACGCTGCTTCAAATCTCAATGCATGGGTTGGTATCGTTTTGATAACATATTTCATGTCCTGAAAATACAAAAAACAAAACATAATATTGTACTTGTCTAATCTCAATCACATGATATAATTAACAGTAAATG